TATCAATAACTTAACCATTAATTTTCTGTATCACCTAAAATCAATTTCTGTCCAGCATATTTTGTAGAACTTTAGCTGACAGGTAAGCAAGACAAGACTACTACTGTCACTCCTTTGGACCAACTATAGCTAAATCTAATTCAGCCAGTAGTAATCAGAAAAATAAAACTTACTCAAATAAAACAATAGCAACAAAAAAAGAACAGAAATGTACAAAGTGATCTATTCTTTTTAATTATACCAAAAAAACACATATAACAAATAAAAGAGTTAGTTAAATATATTAACCAAAAAGTAAGGCAATGATGACTTTTTATTGACTTATAAAAAGCGCGCACAAAAACCAGCTAATAAAATTTTTGAAAAATAAAAAAAAAGATGAAACCAACATAAAATACTTTGAAAAGACAAAAGTCTTACTGAAGGAAATTTTTTGTCAGTATTTCAAATGTTACAAGTTGATAAAGTCAACCCTTTTGTTGTTGATTTGAGGATATTTTAACGACAGAAGACTTGGGTAAAAGAGGATGAAGCATAAAAGTGGAATAAGAAGAAACTAAAAAAAGACAGAAGAAATAAACTCTAATAACAAATCAAAAGTTAAAAAACAAAAATAAAATTAAAAGTAAAATTGAAAGTGAGGAATAAAAAATGAATGATAAAACAAAGATTAATAGAAAAAAGAAAATGAATAAAAACGTAAGAACGATGCAGATATCAAAAAGAATTACGCAGATACTGTACAAAAACTAAGTATTCTCAGGACTTGTTGACAGAGAAGTAAAATAACGGTAAATAATTGTGCTGTATACCGACAGTCTTCCATAAAATTCATCTGCTTTTTTTTTCATCTATATTTGTCACTTTATACAAAATTAAAGTGACAAAAAAAGACAAATCTATTTTATCTTACCTTTTATAGCTTAATAGTGACTTATTGAAAAGTTGGAAAATTGCCAAAACCAACATAATTTATTGTTACCTATCAAAGATCAAAACAATGAGCCAATGGTAGTTAAAACGGTCAGTAAACAATGCAACGAGCGGTCGAGAGGATGGTAAAAAAAATATGTATTTATACACCAAAATTTTAACTCTTTTGTTTTAGGTTTTAAAAATTAATGAAGAGAAAAAAAGAAAGTGACAAACTAAAAATAATAATTATGAAACGAAAAAAAAAAAGAACAAAACAGCAGATCACCATCAATTTACATATATAAAACCATACGATACATTTCTTTCTTGTCTTTTTTTTTTCCTGGTTTATCATTAAAAGTAATTTCAAATTACCCAGATTCTTCAAGTTTTTATTTTCACTATTCCGTACTGCACACACAGTTCATCTGTTTCAAAGTATTCTCCGCATAATAAAACTGTAAGTTTCAAGCAGAGAAATAAACTGTAACAAATTTCCAAATGAAGAATTGGAAGACGCAACAGTAAACGTAAAAAAAGACAACCATAAAGACAGTACACAGTAATAAGACGAGAATGAATAGTGATGCAAAAAACGAAGACCACATAATGTACAGCGGTTAACTATAACTCTCACTGTAGCTGTAACTGAAAATAAAGTAAAGAAGACAGAAATAAATAAAAATAAAAATTGCAAGAACAGTAGAAAAAAGAAAGAACAAAAGAAGAAAAGAGGAATTGAAGAGACAGGACAAATTATTGCAATTCTTATGCAAATGACTCATTCTCCCTCTTACTCACACATTTGCTCTCCCTTTCTCCTTTGATGTCCAAAAAAAATTTATCTTTCCAATTGCTTGGAAAAACCCATCACAGAAACAGTTTCCGGCCAAATCAGCTTAATCTGGCTTGCCAATTTTGTTCAACAATTTGAGGTTCTGTACGCTTGGCGTATTCATTCCCTATCTTTCCACTTATTAATTTAAATTTTTTCTTTGTCTTTTCCTAAAACCAGTCATTCTGTTTCTGTTTCACCCATATACATATGTATATATAAATAAAATTTTTTTTATCTTTACAGACACCCACAAAACAAAACAAAATATGACACTAAAAAAAAAAAAAAAGAGAAAAGAAAAAAAAAACAATACACATTTGACCAAATAAATCAATTTGGCAAAAAAAAAAAAAAAAAAAAAAAAAAAAAAAA